ACCTTAGCTGCGGCATTCCACAACCCTCATCCCGGAATCCTTAAGGACCCTGAACTTACCTTTGGTTAGTAGGGAATGGAGGAATGGGGTACAATTAGGACTACTATTACTACCACTCTTCCATTCCCTACCGTATCTTAAGCCCTACCCAACCCACGTATCCCAAACAGGAGGCAACAAGCTCCGAAGAACCCAAAGAGCCCAACACCCCCTAATTGAACAAAACAAGCTTAGCTCACTATATGAGCCCCTTCGGAATTTTCCGTAATGCTGGACCCAACAAAACTCTATAAGAACCGCACATCACCGAACCGTACACCACCCAATAAAACCTAACAAGCCCCAATGTTCCTTCATTAAAGGGCCCCTTGGGCTCCCTGGACACAACCCTCCTCCAGAGCTTCAGGCATTCCATCAGGACATCGGCGGGGACGTGTGGGACTCAAACGGTTTAGGGCACAGGGTTTCGGGATTCAAGGTCGTTTTGAGTGGTTAGGCAGTGAAGCTTCGGACAACAAGGTTCTGGAGAGTCTCAAGGTTTGGTGAAGCTGGTTGTTGTTTCTGCCAGGATTGTTGTTACTTTCTCTTGGTATGTTTGCGAGGATGACTTGCCAGCGGTATACTGCCCAAGAGGTTCTGCAGTCGCAACAATAATGCTTAAGCTCATATCTATCTATCTATCTATATATGTATACATACATTCATGACATACATAACTGTCTGTCTTTCCACTCATACATACATATGCATGTATGTACGTCTGTATGTAGGTAGGTGTCATCGGTAGTACTGCCGATGTTTTTCGCTGACCGACAGACCCAGGAAGAACAGGAAAACGTGCAGCCTTTGAATTCCTTTGACGTCCAATACAGTCCCATCGGCCGCACAGAACCTTTTACATAAACCGCCGAAGGTTCTAGTTCCAGAATCAACCAGTGATCCGAATGGCTTTTCTACAGGTCGAAGAGGGTGTAATCTTCACATGCTTTCGGGCGCACAGCCCTGAACCCACGGTCACTGTTGCCGCCCAATGCTAACGATCTGAACAGCCACTCCACAACTTTTGAAGCGTGGCGGCAAACCCCAACACTCGAAAAGGCTCCCCAAACCCTAAACCCTAGACCAAAAAAACTCTAAACCCTAGTTTAAAAAAACAGCCCTAAACCCTAGATAAAAAAAAACACCATAAACCCTAAACCTTAGATTAAACGACAACCCTAAACCCTAGATCACAAAAACCTTAAACCCTAAACCTTAAACCCTAAAATCCCTATCCAAAACCTCCTGTCCGACCTCTTGAGACGCGAAGCCAGGGAGGCACACCCAAGTCCTCCCCGCAGAAAGCCGAAGCCTTGAACCAGAAGACCCTCTACTACAGGGGCCTAAGTAATTACCAAGACCAGTTCATAATAGTTTTCATTATTTATTTGATTTCATATTTTTTTGGGTTTTTGGGCGGGGGGGGGGGGTGTACTTATTTTAAGTATAGTATAATGGGCCCCAAAACCCGATTCTAATTATTAAGGCCCTTGCATGATGCTAAGACCACACCAACCTTGAACCAAGAACCCTCGTCGTTGATTCTGTGACCCTTAGGGACGCAGACGGCCCAAGAGTCCTGAAGTCAGGAATATGCCTCAATATTGCGGCCGCTATAACTTGGAAGGTATTCCTTCGTCAACTCATGGGCATCGGGCTCTCTGGGAATCTTAAACCCTGATCCCTAAACCCTAAACCCTAAACCCTGCACCTGAATCCCCAAAATCCTTAAGCCTTTCTCCTTGCGCAGGCCTCGCAAATTCGGGGCTGCAAGCTCCTTCATCAGCGGCAAGGCATCGTCGGTTCGATGCCCTAAACTGGAACCCCTAAAGGGAACTCCAGAAAGTTGGAATATGGATTAATGGTAGGAACCCCTATAATTTACCTTAAAGGGGTTACGATAGTCAAATTCCAACTTTCCGGCTTCTACTGTATGTGCTGAGATTAAGGGATTAGGGTCTAGGGTTTAGGGCTTTGGGTTCAGGGTGGACCGAGTTTCTGGTGCCCGGCTCTGGTCTGAGGGCTTAGCGTTTTATAAGGGTTTAGGGTTTAGGGTTTTGGTGTTTTAGGGCTTAGGATGACAAGAAAGGGCTTGAATAAGTATAGTGTAGTTTAAAAAGTCGTTGTAAGAGGAGATGGTTTCACATTTGGGTTGTTCCTTTCCCTTGGGATCCTAGTTTGGAGAACCACCTATTTGGCGTGTTAGGGTTTAGTTTCTCAAGGTTTAGGCTCACAGTACTGTAGAGGTCTTAATAACTACCTATACTATTTTGCGGGTTCCGTATTAGAACTATGGTATATTGGATCCCAAAACCTTATTCTAATTGTTAAGGCCCCTATATTAGGGGTTCGTGAGGCTTTTGGATATGGGCGTTGCCCCACAACAAGTTCGAAACCCAGCCCAAACGCCCAAGTTCCGCACCCGGAGCTGGAAAAAAGAGGCGAAAAGAGGCGAAGTAGCCTCAAAATTGAACCTTCGATCCCACCACCCCCTGAAGTCCTCGACCCCCGGGAGGATCCAACAAGTAGATCCCTTAATGGGGGTTCCTATAAAGTACCCTTTTGCAGTGTAGGGCCCCAAATTAGGGGATCTACTTTCTAGATCCTCCCTGGGGTCTGGGAAGTCTCCGACCCTCGGCCCTAAGCCCTGAGCCGTTGAACACCAAAGCTGTTGAGCCCTGAAGCTTAAACTTACCCTTGGTTAGTAGGGAATGGAAGAATGGTAGTAATAGTAGATATAATGGTACCCCATTCTTCCATTCCATACTAACCAAAGGTAAGTAAAGCCTGACGTGTTCAACGAAAGCTTTGTGTCGGGAGGTTTCCGCTGGGTTAAAGCAACCTGTATCGTGGCGAGACCATGCGTAGAGGACCCGAAAGCACAGAAGCCCCAAACCCGAACCTCGGGGAGATATGATGGTGGGAATTGCGCGCGTAACAATGCACCCCAAACCCCGAGCCCAAACCACCCCTCAACAAAAACAACAACTGTCAACAACCTAAAGCCTCAAGCAGCACAAAGCGCCCCAGACCTCCCAAGGCCCGAAACCTAAGAAGGGTGCTGCCCACGTCTCGAGGCCTTTCAAGCCGCGCTGCCATTGTAAAGTGCGCCGAGACTGTAGGAAAAGCTTGAGGTTTAGGCCAGGGACTGAGGGTTTCGTGTTACGATCTTGATGTCAGGCTCGGTTCGGCTCGGGGCTAAAGGAAGGTTCGGATGTGAGGGTCTAGAAATCACGGCTTCGTGTTTAGGGCCTGGAGTTTAGGCTTGGTGGTCACGTTAAGGCCGGATGTCGGTCGGTCTTCCTTGGCTCTGAGCCCTAAACCGAATCAACCTTAAACCCCAAACCCTAAACCCCAAAACCCTGAACCCTAAACAATCCCTATGACTATTACTATTATATTACTATTATTAGTATTATTATTACTATTATTATTACTATTGTTATTATTAGTATTTTTATTGTTACTGTTATTATTATTATTATTCTTATTATTATTATTATTATTATTATACTTATTATTATTTTTAATAATTATTATTATTGTTATTGTTATTATTGTTATTATTACTATGACTATACCCCTTGGTACATCCCTTTTTGCCTCTAAGCTTCGCAGGTACGTCTCTCACGAGGCGGCGCAGTACGCCCTGAATCTCTGTCGAGGCTGCCCTGGGTTTTTTGCTGATGGCCCTCAACAACCTGGTGTAGGTTCGGGGTTCAGGGCTTAGGATTTAGGGTTTAGGGGCTTAGGGTTCGGGGTTCAGGGCTTAGGGTTTAGGGGTTTAGGGTTAAGGGTTGCAGGTTTTATGGTCCAGGTTTAGGGTGATGACAGTGAACTTTAGAACCGAATGTGAAACGACGGCGGTGCTCTCTCAAGCTTCTCAGGTTGAGGGTAGCGGCCCATGGTTCTTGAGCAGGCCCTCTCGGTGCTAAGGGTCCTTCATCAAGGGGCCTCTACAAACTTGTGGGGACTCGGCTGTCCTTTCTATTGCGGCGCGGGCGCTGGGGCTTTGATCGCCAGCTTTCTGCTGGGTCTTATCTGCGGGACAGCTGCGGGCGCCGCAGGTGTATACTATTTCTTGGTAACCGCCTGTAGGCCCACGCCAGACCAGGCTCCTGAACTTCAGCCGCCGCAGGCGGTGCTGCAAGCCCGAAGGCGGGCGCGTCTTAGCGGATACGTTGCATGAGCGAGGAGGAGACACCCAGCTGGGATTTGTCTCTTCAAATCGAGGGTTTGTCCCTTAGGCTTAGGGGTCTTAGGGTTAGCCCGGCCCGGTCAACTTCGCCTGCCTCCTCCCTCTCGGGTTTTTCGGTTGTGCCTCAGGAGCCCCGGCTAAGCCCTAGGTCCCTAACCCGTGCGAATCCGCCTGAGCATCTTTGCAGCTCGGTGGCCCCGCCTGCAACTGCCCCAAGCACTCATCTCACTGCCTCTTCTTCGGCTGTCGTTCAAGGATACACCAGCCCAAACCGTGGGCCTTCGCGTGCTGCGCCCCGGCCTGGTGACAATTTTGCATCCTCAGCTCCTGCTGTGCCTGAGTACCCCTTGCCCAGTCGCTCGTCGACTCTGAGGTTTGAGGCTAGGCAAGCGATCGCTGCATCCTTCGCTCCTATCCCTCCTCACTGTGTTGACCTCTGCCGAGGCCTCTCCACTGCTGAGCTCAGCCCTACTGAACGAGCTGAGCGCGCTTGGCTCGCTGGTTGCTGGGCAGGTGCCGTCTTGAGCGGGCTTGTTGATCGCCCGGATCCTTCTGTGCCTTTGCCTTTGACCTCCAGGTTTTACTGCATCCTGAGGGCTAGGTCCATTGAGCAGCCTGTGGTCTGCTCTTCGCTCACCTCCTTTCGGCGGATCATTGGCCCTGCATTGGGCGATTCGATCTCTCACGGCTTCCCTTCCTCCTCTGAGGCCCGCGTCTTCTTTGCTGGGGCAAACCTGCCCTACCCGGCTGCCCTCACTCGCTGATGGACTTGTTGGTGGCGTACGAGACCGGAACTGTGGAGCTAGTTGAGCTCTCCTGGCCCCCAGGCCTGGAGGAGGGCGTTCCGCAAATATGCGTCGGCTATGTTATCATGAAGCGGCCCTCTGGCTTCTTGCTCTGTGTTCCGGAGGGCTTCATGTCACAAGTGGAGCTGGAGAACGGCCAGGCTGCAATGGAGCTGGAGGGAGTGGGCCCCTCGATCGTCATCAGGGCACCTCCGGTGCAGCTAGCCGCTTCAGGGGATTGGGTCACAGCTCCCGAAGGAGAGGAGGAGGTCCCGGCCCTCTTGGTGGATCTGGCCGCCCCTCTCGCGGAGCAGATCAGCCCGGTCGACCTGTTGGCCCCGGACTTGGTGCTCTTCCGCCCCGGGCAGGCAATGATCTTTCCTTTGGCATCGGACGTGCTTCGCCAAGCGCGGGAATGGCTGACTACCGATCCTTTCCCGGCCGAGCGGGGCGGGTATCACACTGCTCAGTCTGCCCCGGAGGGCCCATCCCCTGGAAAGGCAAGGCAAGCGAAACCGAAGCGGCCCACGGTGCAGCAGCTTGCCACCCAGCAGGAAAAGATGATGGAGCTGATGGCTTCACTTGTCGGGCGGCTGGATGCCTTGGCCCCTCCTGCTCCGGCGCAGGTTGCCCCGGCTGCTTCGGAGGCGCCAGCTCCTCAACCGGCGGCTCCACATGCTGTTTTGAGCCGCCCCTTGGCTTCCGTGCTGCCTCCTTTTCAGAGTGCCCCGAAGAGTCTTGCTTCTGTGGTGGGCCCGCCCCCGCCGGCACGAGCGCAGCCGCCTGCTGCGGCCCAACAGCCAGACAAGGAGGAGCAAGCCAATGCTCACTTGGAAGCGGGCGACCTGCCCCCGGTCGAGAGCGGCAACTCTTCTTTAGCATCTGCGGTTCTTGCTCAAAGTCAGGCGCTGGTGGCGCTGGTGTCCCAGATGTCGCAGGGAGTCACGGACCCTCTCTTGGAAGGCCAGCCCGGCCAGTCGACTTCAGTCAGGGGTTCGGTAGGCCGTGCAAAGCTCCAGCAGGAGCTCGCAGCCCGAACGGGAGCGTTCGCCGACCGTGTCCGCGAAAACATGACTCGCAGAATGGATCCCACCGGGCTCTTGGCAGAAGACCAGGTGAGTTTCCTGCGCTTCTTGGAGCGCCACGGAGGCTATGCAAATCAGCAGCTGCTAGGCCTGATTGCGTGGCAACTTGCTCAGTGCCTAGATCTTCTGCATATTGGTTCCACCGACGGCGCTCGGGACGCCTTGAGCCTCCTGCTGGTGATGGTGGAGCAAGTGGCCCGCGACCGCGGCAGCCCCACTTTGGGCTGGCTTCTAACCCTGCAAGCCGATCCCCCTTTGGGACTGTTCCAGCCGCAAGCCGCCATGCCGGGCTCTCAGATCCAGAGCTTCACACCATTGTGCGACCAACGCTGGATCACGGTGGCATTAGCTTACACAAAAGAACTCGAGACGATTGCCGGCCGGGTTTCCGAGAGTTCTGCAAAGCCCCCGCCGCCAAAAGGGCCCAAGCCACCGACGCTGCCACCGCCAGCCGACCCGGCCACCGAGGAGCAGCAGCTCACAAAGAAGCAGCAAAGGGCTGCACAATGGGCTGCTCGAAAGGCGGCCGCAAATGCTCTCCCTCCGAAAAAGTAGAGGCACGATATAAGGGAGCTTCTGTGTTTAAGCCCGGCGTGCGAATTTCAAAGCCCCGGCAACCTGCTCCCGGCAGCCACGTGCCCCGTCCTCTTGTCGAGCCCGGGCCGCGGTCTTCCCCGGCTGCCACTGCCTCTTCTTTTGGTTCTGCCTCGTTTCAATCTTTGGCCCCCTTTGATTTGGGCGCTGCTTCCGAGCGTGTTCCCGCGCCTACCCCTCCGGAGGATGGCTTTGACTTGGGCGAAGTCCCCGGCACTGTGTTCCCTTTGGAGGGCGCGGCGGTGGATGAGGAGTCCGGCTTCTCTTTTGTGGCCTGGATTTCGGCCTTGCCTCGTTTGCTGCACTCAGGCAGGACCCAGTTTTCTCGATTTCTTCTGTCGACTATGCGTGTCTGCGAGGGGCCCCTGCTCGCCCCTACTTCCGCCCTTTTCCCGCTTCCTCTTCTCCGGGAGGGGATCTTCCAAAAGCGGGCCCGGAGGAATGCACCTGCCTCTCTCAGGCTTGCGGTTGAGCGCTGCGTCCACTTTGTCAGCATGGGTTTGAACTACATGCACGCAGGCTGCCGCCCCGTTCCTGTGCATTCTCTACGGAGGCGCCTAAATCCTCTCCAGGCCCAGGCCTATGATCGGATTGAGGTGCTTGTCTGGGCGTGCGCTCGCCAGGCTGGTCATGTACCGTCCTGCGCGGGCCGACGAGGATTGCATTTGGCCACCCGGCTTTCTGAAGTGCTGTCCTACTGCAAGCGTCTTGGACTTGACGCTGGGCCCTACGGGGCCGATTCGGCGCTGCCTGAGGGCGCCGTTTGTGAGCCGCCTGAGCATGTGTCTGGCGATGGGGGCAAGGGCACTGCGGAGGCCCTGCAACCTTACCGGAGCATCAGGGCTGATCAGGTTGTGCTTCACGGCAAAGGTCTTTGGGACCTTTCCCGTCACCTCGGCCCGGACCTCTACCTGCCCTACGTTGAGCCCGAGGTCTACAGGTTCTCCGGGTCAGGCGCTCCTTGCGCTACTTTCGCCAGTGAGGATAAAGCTGAGGTTTTCAGGCTTTGCAAGCTTTGGGACGCCTCTGGTCTTCTCGGCTTGACCCCCGGCCCGCTGCCGGAACGGCTCTGCGCTAGGGTGTTTGGGGCCTACAAAGGCCCGGGCCAGCAACGACAGATTGGGGACCGACGGGGCCAAAACTCCCTTGAATGCCAGCTGGTGGGACCGTCACGCTTCCTCCCGGTAGGTCCTTTGCTCTGCCGTGTGCACGTTCCTTCGGGCTCCTGCCTGGTCGGGTCTGTTACAGACAGGCGCGACTTTTACACTCAGGCGTCTGTTTCAAAGGAGCGCGCACTCACGAACGCGGTCGGGCCGGCTCTGCCCTTGGATTGGTTCGCTGGCACCTCGGCTTTCGATGACCTCCTGGCTGACCCCTCGCGGCACACCGTTGATCCTGACCTTTACGCCGGAGCCTTGCGGTTTGACCGCCCTTCCTTGCTTTGCGATCGAAAGCCTTATGTTCACCCGACTTTTAAGGCTCTGTTCCAAGGCGATGCCGGAGGGGTTGAGTTTGCTACGGCCGGGCACGAGGGTCTCCTGCACAGCTACGGGTGTCTCCGTGGGCCAGGGCGGCTTCAAAGCAAACACCCGGTCGCTCCCAACGGGCCGTGGCAGGGCTTGATAATTGACGACTTCTTCGCATTATCGGTTGAGCCCTGTGACTTTGTTGAGGGTGCACCCTGCCGATCTTCCGAGCTTATAGCCCAGGCCAAGGCCGGCTACAGCGCCGAAGGCGTGATCGGGTCTGACAGCAAAGACATCCTGAGCTCCCGAGCGTTCAAGGTTGCAGGTGCTGAGGTCGACTCGACTTCCGCCACTGTTGGCGCCGGTGCTACGCTCTGTGGTTACCCCGTCCACAAGCGACTCGCCCTTGCTGCTGCTTCTGTGCGGGCTGCACAGTGCCCCTGCCTCAGTGAGGAGCTTGTGTCCTGCCTTAGCGGGTCCTGGGTTTCCTGTTTGATGTACCGCCGCTGCCTCACCTCCGTGCTTGACGGTCTTTTTGGGCTAGGCCGTTCATCTTCAGCTGGCGGCGCGCCCGGCTCGACTTTGAGACCCCTCTCCCGAAAGGTCGCCGGCGAGCTTCAACTACTTGCGGTGCTTGCCCCTGTTGCGGTGTGCAACCTCTCTGCTGCCCCCTCTGAGGAGGTGTTCGCTACTGATGCCTCTATGCAGCGCGGTGCCGTATGTGCTACACCGGTCCGGCCTGACGCCTCTCTTGGTCTCTGGCTGTCTCTTGATGTGAAGGGTGCCCCGGTACACCTCAGCACTCCCGGCGCCCTGGGCAAACTGGGTGGCAGCGCTGGCCAAACTGACTTCGAAGACAGTCTGCCGCCAGACCACCTCACTGGCGAGCCCCCGACGGTTCAGAAGCCACTTGCCTTCAGGTTTGACTTTCTAGAGGTCGGTGTTTGCTCTGGCATTGTCTCGGCATGCCTTGCCTCCAGAGGCTATAGTGTCGGTCCTCTCGTTGACTTTGCTCGGTCTCCCCACTACGACCTTGCTTCCCCACGGCTGCGAGAATGGCTCCTTCACTTGATCGGGACTGGGCGTCTGAGATCTATTGCCTTGTGTCCTCCGGCCTCGTCCTTCCGACCGTTTGGCCGCTTCCTCCTCCGGTCGTGGACTTGCCCTCTTGGTTTTGATCCCCGGCACCCCACGGTTCTGAAGCAAAACACAATTGCTGCCGTGTGCTTCGCTGTCCTCTGGGGCTGCGCTAGATACCGAGTTCCAGCTGTCCTTGTGCACCCTGCCTCCTCGCTCCTCCCACAACTTCCCGGCTGGGCCTACCTTAGGGATAAGATCGGGTTGATAGACTCTAAGGCTAGGGACCCTTGGGGTTTTGCACGGGCAGGCTGCCGCGCCCTGGTGTCGGGCATCTCGCCTCCTGTCGGCTCTCGCTTTGTTGAGCCTCCCGGCCTTCAGCAACCTGCTGCCAAGGGCGTCCTTTGCTGCCCTCGACTTGCGTTTTCTCTCGCTGGAGCTTTTGCTGGTGCCCTTGACCCCGGTGGGCCTGCCGGCCCTGAGCTCTGCCCGACCGGCCTGGAGAACATCATCGCAAACGACTTGCTGCTTGCTGCCCCCTGGTCTGTCGTTGCAGATTGGCCCTGGAGGCGCATATCGCATATCAACGTCCTGGAGACGAAGGCTGTGCTGAAAGCTATTCAGCTTGTGATCAAAGAGGGCGGAAACCGGAAGGTACCCCTCCTTCTGGACTCAGCCGTTGCTCGGGGTGCGATAGCAAAGGGGAGGTCTTCCTCCAGGCTTCTCCGCCCCGTTCTCCTTCGGATCTCAGCATCCCTCGTCGCAGGAGGAGTCTATGTTGCCATGGGCCATGCTCCGACGCGCCTGAATGTCGCCGACGACCCGACTCGGTGCACTCTGTTGAGAAAGGCTTCGGGGCAGCTTCTCTCTGACCTTCTAGCTGGTGACAGCTTCCTGCAAGCCTGCCGTGTGTCGGGCCTTTCCAGCGCCTGTGCTGGATGGTACCGGCTCTCCCTGCTCCTTTCCTTTAGGACCTCTAGGGCCTGGGGTTTAGACCTTTTAGGGGTTCTGGGACAACCTTTTCGGGCCGAATGGCCAGCCTCCGCAGCTGCACCTGTTGCTGCCGAGCAGTCTGCTTTCAACGCCAGCCGTCTGTTTGACGCTACTTTGGGCTTCCCTGGTGAGGGGCCGCTTGAGCCTCGAAATGCCAAGGACGCGCTGCGACGGAGGGCCCGCCAAGGTGAAACTCTGCCTGAAGGTCGTCCTGTTCAGTTACGCACGTCTGCCAACCGGTCCTCGCTGCTTAAGGCTTTTCAAGATTGGCTCCTCGCTGGTGGTCTCGAAGCTGAGGGATACTTGAGCTGGCCTGCTGAGGAGATTGGTAGAGTGCTTGCTGTTTTCGGCCGCGAGCTGTTCGAGGCTGGCTACCCGTACTGGCACCTGGCCGAGACGATAAATGCGATCGCCTCGAAGAGGCCTGCGGTGCGGAGACAACTGCAGGCGGCTTGGGACGTTGCTTTCAGCTGGATGGCGGCAGAGCCGCATTCGCATCATGTCGCCATGCCTGCGGTTGTGCTGTTGGCAGTGCTTGCCGTCAGCCTCCTTTGGGGATGGAGGTCAGAGGCTGGCATCTTTGGTCTGGCTTGGGGCGCACTTCTGCGCATTGGTGAAGCTGTTGGCGCCAGGAGGGAGTGCCTTGTTTTGCCGCGCGACGTCCTCGGATCTCAGACTTACGTCCTGCTGAGGATCGAGGAGCCAAAAACGCGATACAGGGCTGCCCGCCAACAAGCAGGTAAGCTCGAGCAGGCCGACTTGGTTGAGCTCGTCGACCTCGCCTTCGCCAAGCTCCCACCGTATAGCAGGCTCTGGCCAATGACCGCTCAGACGTTGAGGCGACGACTCGATGCAGTGCTGGAAGCCTTGTCGATCCCTACCGCCCGTGGTACCACCAGGCCGCTCGACCTTGGGTCGTTCAGGCCTGGCGGTGCCACGCACATGCTTCAGATCACGGAGGACTCTGAACTTGTCAGACGGCGAGGCAGGTGGGTGTCGCCGAAGGTTATGGAAATCTACTTGCAGGAGATCGCCTCCCAGACGTTCTTCCCTGCCCTCCCGCTCGCTACGAGGAACAAGGTCATGCAGGCAGCAGCGTGTTTCCCTGAACTGTTACGGCGAGCGCGCCAGTGGACTCAGAATGGTGTCCCCACTGGCTCATGGTTTTACCTCTGGAGCTTTCAAAGCGTCGCCACGGGCAAAGGCGACTAGGGCCGTGTGGGTAGTGTGGGAAGTTTCTTTAAAGGCGCCTCGGGCCAGCCATCACGAATCTTCGATGGCTCCCGTTTTTCTTGCTGGATGCTTCAGTTCCCAGCCTTCCGTACAGTGGTGCCCGTGGATCTTCTCCGAGCTGCAGACAAAGAGAGCGTGAGGTTCTGAACTTTAGAACCGAATGTGAAACGACGGCGGTGCTCTCTCAAGCTTCTCCCACCCACCCGCCCGGCTTGATAGCTGCTGGGAAGTTTCTTTAAAGGCGCCTCGGGCCAGCCATCACGAATCTTCGATGGCTCCCGTTTTTCTTGCTGGATGCTTCAGTTCCCAGCCTTCCGTACAGTGGTGCCCGTGGATCTTCTCCGAGCTGCAGACAAAGAGAGCGTGAGGTTCTAATTACCATTGCTTTCGGTCCTCCCTAATCGGGCTTCTGGGTTTGCGACGTTGGGCACTGGGTCCGGCTTCTATTCTTGAGGATGAGAGGCAGATGATGTGAAACCACACCCATACATACACCAGTTGAGTGCCAAACCTGCTGCTGGCTTCCTCTTGCCATTCCTGGCCTGGAGAATCAGCAGCAAGATGCAACTCTTAGTTTCCCTGCCTCTGTGCGTCCCCCCATCCGAAGCCGCAACCACTTAAACCCTAAACCCTGCACCCTAAACCCTGAACCCTGAGCCCTAAACCCTGAACCCTAAACCCTGAACCCTAAACCCTGAACCCCACACTACCCCACACTCTGAACCCCAAACCCGCCAGGCAGTACTGTCAACATGGAGGTTCGTTTTGCCGAGGAGAAGGCTCCGCCAGAGCCCAGGGGGCCCGAGACGCGAAACTCTCGAAGTCCCAAATCCCCGGCCCTTGGAGCCTTAAAGCCCCATAAGATCTACATACCCTGCCCTTAAACCCCAAACCCTAAACCCTCCAAGCCTTAAGAGCATCAGCCACGAAAGTCTAAAATGCCCAAATCTTCAAGAACCCGACATCGCCAGGTCCGAGGATTTAAGGGCTGAGGATCGGGGGGACCAAATGGAGTTGCTGGTGTGGTCTAAGGGTTTGAGTTTAGGGCTTACTGGTAGGGGGCTTTGGGGGGGGATTCTTCTCGGTTTGGTCATCGAGCCGCTTTACATCGACTTGGGGGGCTCATGTTTCTTTCAGCTTCAGGATCCCATTGCCTTATGTCTTTCTCAGGTAAAGAAGAGACGTCGATCCGCTGTCGTCCGGGTCTCAGGCCATGCAGTGGCCCCAGACATGATCTGAAGAATGTACCGGAAAGATCAGCGAAAACCCTGCGCGGAATGGCGCCCAGAACCAGAAGATCTGAAGCTTTACCTCAGCGCAAACCCCCTGCTTCTCGAAGCATGTTTCACAGCCAGCAGGGCACGGCCCAGCTGTTTCACATGTGCCATGGTTCCGTTCTATGGCAGCGAAAGTCATCCACAAAACCCGTTGCCACACAAACGTGCAATGAGGTGTGGACTAGGACGACGATACTAATGGTGATGATCTCTGCGGTCATCACCATCCCAATGTTAAAGCCACCATCTATTGGCATCATCACGATCATGCTTATGATCATCTTCATGATTCGTGGTCGTCAGCTGGGGTGTTCCTGGAGATGGATCTTCGTTGCCTTGCCTTCGAAGCCTCCTGGGGCAGTGAGACGTTTTTGAAGTTCCAGGGGAGATGCAGCGTCCTTGCGGTTGTTCGAGTCATGCACAGAGTCATTCAAGTGCTGCGGCTTGCGTCTCAGACAAGCCTACATCCTAAGCCTCGAGCTTTAAATCGTAAGCCCGAAGAAGTATTTCCCCTATATTATAGTACCCGTATAGATCCCTTATAGTTACCCTTATAGACCCCTTCAAAGGAACCTTATTTTGATCATTGAGGCCCCTACCGACACCCAAAACCCGTGCCAGGGTGGAAAGGGCGGTCCTTCTTGGGGAGGCCGGTGGGACTTTTGGGATTTCAAAAACTTGAGTCAAAGTCCGCTTCGAAGACGGGGGCCCTCAAGGCAAAAACACAAAGTTTAGGAGTTTAGGGGTTAGGGGTTTAGGGTTTCGGGTTCAGGGCTTTAGTGGTTAGTGGTCTAGGGTTCAGGTGTGGCTCTAGGGCTAGGAAGTCGGGGTTCGGCCTGTGGGGAGGTTGTAAAATTTTCCGAAACTTCGAGTTGCCGCGCGCCTTATGCTTCGAGAGCCCGAAACGGACAGAACTGAGTACTTGGTCTCAAGTTCAAGGTTTACGGCCCTGCGCGAAATGAAGGGGGATTATCTCTTCTTGTACACGTCAAGACCCTCGTCAGCGTGTAGCACCCTTTACCCGAAACACCAAATCAGGAGGTAGGACACGCGGTCTCTCCTAAACCCCTAAGCCCTAAACCCTAAACCCCTAAACCCAAAACCCAAAACCCCTGAACCCCTAAACCCTAAACCCACAACCCCTAAACCCCTAAACTCTAAACCCATTGGTTGGAAGATGAAGTCTCAGTGCCCAAGGCTTCCAGGACCAGAGATCCGAGCCAGGCCCCGAACTCAAACCGGAAAACCAGAAGCAGAGAAGCTTCCGCTGCTGTGGTCACTGTAAGGGCCTTCATAATTAGAGTAGGGTTTGGGGTTCTGCTATGTGATAATTAGAACAAGGAATCCCCAAAATCCTGCTCTAATTCTTAAGGCCCCTGTAGTAGGGCCTTTGGGGCTTCGAGGCAGGGGGTTTAGGCTTTAAGGCTGGGATGAAGGTAGGTGGGGTACTCCCAAAACCAGAGTCCTTATAGGGGATCTTTGACCTACCTACTTTCATCCCACCTTTTGAGGCCTCCAATCTTGAGATGCATTTGCTGCCCTGTGTGCACTGAGAAGAGATGTGTTCAAAACCATCCAAGAGCATTGATCGCAGCTTCCTTGTCTCTAGATCCCGAAGCTTGTTTGGCGCTTTCCAGGTTCACTGTGTGCCTTCGCCCCAAGTATCCTACCTTTTTTAAGGTATTTTGAGGAAATTTTAATCAGGAGACTGAAAAAGGGAGGTTCTTCAGCGTCCAGGTAGAGGTAGGAGACTAGGGAAGCCGACGAAGTCGAAAACCCAAGAATTCCTCGCAGGAGGTGGCCGCAACAAGGACAGAACTTGGGGAGCGTCGGCCGAAGCAGAGACATACGTAGAATGGGAGTTTTCGGGAATTGGGGGTGCCTTATTTTGGGGTCCCTACAGTAGGGATCCTACTATTGAGGGTGCTATATTAGTGTCCCTTGTTTTTGGGAACTCCCACATGTCAAAACTCAAGATTCTAAATTCACGTTTGGAAACCTCAAAACGTACAACCGCAAGCCCTACATCTTAAATTCTGAGTGAAGGGTTGGTTCGTGGCTGGGCTGTGTAAACTTTCTGGTTGGGGTCTTTAGGTCTAGAGCGATAGAGTTGGGCGGGTTGTTTGAGGAGTTTATCTGAAGGACGTGTGCCCCTAGCAGCCAGCCTTCCGATCCTGGGCCATCTAGGGTTCGAGTTTGGGCTTACTGTAGGGGCTCAAATATTTCGGAGGTTCCTTATTATCATTATTATTCTAGTACACTGGGCCCCAAAACCTATTCGAATTATTAAGCCCTCCTACATTATGGAACCCTTATAGTAGCCCTTATAGACCCCCATTAAAGGAACCCTTAACACAGGCACCCCTATTCTGATTCTTCCGCCCCTATATTAGAGTTCATCTATGGGGTCTCCGGTTAAAGGTGACAGAGGTCCCCAGAGACTCCATTAATATCCCTTAATTAGGGAATATCCCTTAAGATTATAATAGGATCCCAAATATGATTGAAGGAATAAGGGATATTCGAGTCTCTGGGTCCTAGCTTAGGCTCGGCCACTTGTTGTTAAACTTTCCGAAGTTCTCAAGTCGTCAGCCGCTACCTTAACACCGGAATAACCTACCTTCTTTCAGGGTTCCTTAATATGATTTCCGTATATAAGTCCTTAAAACGGTAAGTTAAGTCTTATAATGCGGAGCCATGAGTCCTCGACAAAATGTCAAAGAAGCCGAAGTGTGTCACCCAGAGTCCGAAGCCCTGAGCCCTATGTGTCCGAAAACCTGGCAAACATAAACTCCAAGGGGAACAGGAGGGACCCTGAATAAGGACCCCTAGGTAATATACCCTTAATATAGCCATTCTATACCCATTATCTGGCCCATTATAGGGTAGGGGTCCCCATTAAGGGTCCCTCCTTTTCCCCTTTGATAAACCCCAAATGCTTGAACCCCTGAGCCCTGAGCCCCGGTCGATGAGATGCCCTGAACCCTGAACCCGAAATCGCTTCAACCCCAAGTCGCTTGACTAGGGTAGGGTTTGAGTTTAGAGTTTAGGGTTGTGGGTTTAGACTTTTCGGAGGACGGCGCAATTCCCGTCCATGTGGGCCTGCGAGCGGGGACCCTGGAGATCAAGATCAGGGATGGGAAATTCCCCTTCCCGAAAGGTGTCTTCAGGCTGCTTCAAGGGTTACTTTGAGAGTTAACCTTTTAGGGTATCTCTTGAAAGGCTGTATGGGGTTGTTCAGATTTTGTTGTTTGGCTTCAACAGGGTTTGTAAGAGCCTTGATACTTCGAGTATACCACAAAGCGTTATCAGCCCTTGAACAAAAAGCCGGATCTGTGTCTCAGTGCAGCCAGTCGTTCTTCATCCCACTGGTTCAGTGGTTGGGGTCGTTGGCAGACCCTGAAGCCACGATGCCTTCGGGTTCAGGCTGGACATATATGTGAAATAGTCGGTTAAAGACAATCTATAATATATATATATATATATATATGACCTCGTATGTATAGGTCCATAAGATGTAACTTACAATACATGGGCTCGAGGCATGCCTGATAGTTTCCCAGTGAAGTCGAGGTCAATAACCATACACTAAACCCTAAACCCCTCGAGGTCAAGAACCATGCGAACGGGCATTCCGGCGAAGTCGTCGCCTGTCGCGGGCGCACGCCGGAGCCTGATCTTGCTTCTTAGTGCTCCTCACCC